GTTTCTTCATAAACAAAGACATATTGACATTCACCCCTAAAATTCAAATTTGATACAATCCAAAGCTAAACTTTATCTGAAAATGGATCATCCTTATTTACATCAACACTAAATGCAAGCTAAAATGGGCAACTCAATACTTGTAAATAAAAAGTATCCATTATATTCAATAGCCAGATAAAAGTGGTACAGGGAAGAGTACGAATGCATGACTTTTTTTTACAATCCCACAAATAAATGTACAGTAATGTTTTACAGTATTCAGGCAGCAAGCACTGGGTTATTAAAACAATCCTCAGATTGGTGGATGGTGTACATAACAAAAACAATATACGATTTTACAATAAATGAATAAATAATAATTTAAAAAATAATAATAAAGATCAGCGTTTCATATCCTGATGCCATCAAATTTCAAACAGGTCAGTTTCACAACGAACTTTGTTGCACATTGGTCTTAAAAAAAAAAAAAAAAAATTCATCCTACTTGGGGAAGTGCCAAACCCACGGTATAGTCAATGTAAACAATTTTAGAGCATAAAAACAACAATAAGAAAAAAAAATTGGGGGTGGGGGGGGGGGGGGGTGGGGGGAACATGAAGTTCATGGCATAAATAAAGTGGGTTCAACAAGTAGTAATTTACAAAACTCATGTTTAAATCCTACACACTTTTCACTCAAATGTAAGGACATAAAATTAAGAGGAATTTTTTGTCATATTAGGTATATTACTCATTGTGGGCTTTTAATTCTTTTACGAGACTGGATCAAGTACAGTCCTGTAGTAACATGAATAATAATAATAATAATAATAAAAGTTTCTTTAAAACTAATTTCGTCAATAAAAATGCATTTAACAGAAACGCTTTGTCCTGCATATATGTTTCATTATTATGACCTCATTTGTTATTGCTTCAGATACATAATTTGGTGTTTAAAAATCAGATGTAATAAGAAAAAATCTAATTATTTGTCTGATCTTGATAATAAGCAGAATGCCAAAGCTATCTCTATAAATAACTGTTAGAAATATAATAAAAGGGCATCCAATTCTATATCTGTTTAAATAAAACTCATTATACAACAAGTAGCTGACATACAGCATGGAAAATATAATAAATAGTTGCAACTTTACAGTTCTCTTCAACAGAAAAAAAAAAAAAAAAAAAAAAACACTTAAGCATGACCAGACTAGACTAAAAATAAATGTTCAGCAACACTTTCACTTTTTCAGTTATAAAACACCAAATAAGTAATGTACCATCTAAAGTCTCCATGAATTTTTTAAAAAACAGGCTCTAAAACACACACAAGCCTCCACTAATGGCATTTTAAATCAGACCTCATGGAGCATAAGGTGGAGGAGGGGGTACATTTGTCACTGGAGGAATAAGCTCAGCACCCAAGGGAGGGATAACCTCCATCCCATCAAAGTCTTCCATTAATCTGTGTCTATCACTACTACGACGGGAGTCATGGATTGGCGGGTATCTCTGCAGCAAGTTACACGCCACTGCTATGACTGACACAGCACCCGCTGCAGTGACCAAATAGAAACTGACATCAAAATGCACTTCCACCTTGCTGCCTGCATGATGCTTGGTCTTCTCTTGTAAATCTTTTATCAACTGTGCTTCCCAGAAGCAAAAGCCATTCACAGTGACGCATACAAGCACTGAAAAATATAAAGAAAAGAGAATGTATTAACAAGAAACTTAAACAATGCTGAAAATGATTTTCCTACAGAAGTTTTCAGTTCAAAGTGAAAAAATAAAAGGTTTTAATACAGATGAATAGTTATAAATTATAGAAAATAAGGAGGGGAGGCAGCTGCCAAATGTTTCACACCTACCAAAGTTGCCATATAATGTTTGCAGGCAGACTAATTAACTATGGACTGTCTGCAGTAAACAGTCAATAGACTTCCTTGCTACGGTAGTCTGATAACTTTCAGATCATGGGATACTTCACAAATAAAATCTCATTTCTTCACATAGCAATAACGTAGTTCCTTGAAATATCTAGCA